GCAGGCTTTTGCTAATATTTGCCAAACGTTTGTGGCAGAGAACTTTTGGTAAAAATTTATGCAGTGAAAAAACTCACTTACGTGCGTGTTCTAGTAAATCGCTGCTCTCGAAAGATGAAACGTTGTGAATCAAATCACTTTTGTTTGCAAGTGGTAAACATCGTTTGTCAACATTTAAACAGACAGATATTTGTTGTTTGAATTTTGTGAAAGGTTTAAGAGACGATTAACGTAGATGCTTGCGGCGTTTCCGCCGGATAAACTTCGGTTCCTCTTGAAGAACCAAATGCTACCTACATTGCAAGCAGAAAGGTCACCCAACATTTGATTTGGTATAAAGTGTAACGAGAGGCACTGAAATCGCGAGCCAAAATTGCGAGCTTGCCTTCGGCGCCTTCACTGAATTGTTGCTTCGCTTCCATTGATTTCTGTGTCTGCATGAAGGAATATGGAACCTAAATGATTACAAGTTGATGCTGGGTAAACTTTAAAACGACAACGTTTTTGGTGATGTTTCATCAATTGATAACTGCAGGTTTGTATATTCCGTTTAAGCAATTATGCACGACCAACCAATTTGCCAATTTGACAATTTCTTCGCTTCTCCGAGTGGATTGTAGGGAAGAAAAAATTCGTGAGTCAAATATAAGCCGTGTCTACAAAGTCAAATTTGAATAATCGTTAAATTGAGAAAATACGGCTGTTTACTCTTCATTATTATATAACCTATCAAAAATTGGGACTCCAAAACTTTTGGGAAACTACATGAAAGCTACTGCATTTTGCAAATCCAGTTTGTCACTAATATAGATAAGTCGCATGCAATCTAAATATGAGCTTATTGATGTTGCAGTTATTTCCTGGTATCTCCTTGCCCCAGTCCTGATACGCGGAATTGAGCAAAGTGATATCAACTACATGGTCTCGAATCTGAAGGTTCGATATGACGTCATTGACAATCTCCAAACATCTTTGAAGGACGAGAGAAAAACGTTTAGTGCCCAGATCACTTTAACAAACGAGGGAGAGGTCGATATTACAGCAGGGGACTGGGCACTATACCTTTGCTCTATCCGTATGATAGAGGAAGAGTACACGGCTCATAATCCCCAGGGATTTGATCTCCCTGGGGGACAGGGCATTACTGTTACTCACATCAACGGATGCTTGTTCAAGTTTGCGCCTAACAAAGACTTCCAAACGATGAAACACAACGACAGCCTCATTCTAGCGTTTAATGCCTCGTTCTGGTGCGTGTCTAAAACGGACGTCATGCCAAACTGGTATATAGCCGCTGACGGTTTGCAGGCTCGGACCATAATAAGCACTGCTGGAGAGAAGCTTAGCTTTGTGGGACCGTTTGAAACTTCCAAGAAATGGAAACGTTTTCCAAGCGACTTATACAATCCCTACACACCAAAAAAGCGCTTAGAACTTGGTTTAGTGAAGGATCTTAAAAGCGCACCGAATATTGTGATTCCTACCCCTGTGGAGGTGGAACGAGATGATACAAAAAGAAAAGCTTACTTTGGAACTGGAGACTGGATCGTTGTGGCGCCAAAAGAGCTGGATACAGAGGCAAAATATTTAGCCAGTAAGGGTCGAGTTTACGTACTCCATAAATGTTGCACAGACACCTTACCAGACTTCCTTGGTTAAACATTTAGGCCCTGTACACACTTCACCGGAGGAATTAAAAACGGAGGTTTCACTCTGAAAACACATCAAATGTTTTCCGTCCACACTACTCCGGATGAATTTAAAAACGCACGAATCAACCTGCCGGTCATTTTGGATTTATGTTTGAGGAAAACTCAGGCAGAAAAGTCACATTACTATCGTGAAGCCATCGTTTTCGAAAAGCTCCGTTTTCAAATTGTTTTCCGTCCACACGAAAATGCGAAGCCGGCGTTTTCAAATTCCTCCGGTTTGAAGAGCGCTTTCGAAAAGCTCCGTTTTCGTGACGGATTAGTGTGGACGGTAGGCCTAACCCATAGAAATAAAGCTGCGTTTTCAGATTCCTCCGGCGTAGTGTGGACACTGTGCCTTAGCTAATTATCAACTTTAGCCTGACTGTTAGCTGCAGTAGGCTGGACGTGTCGATCATCCTCGTCTATACCCTCGGTGTAGACTGTCATGTGATGCAGGCTTGCCTGAAGTGGGTAAAAGTAAATTTACCACCGTGAAAAATTCGTAAAGCCACGGCGATACCCAAATTCGCCATGGTGTTTAATAAAACTATATTACCGACATCAAGTGGGTCGATAATCAGTGTCTCACTTGCTCGTAGGACACGACTTATCACGGAGATTTTTAAGAGGCTTCTCACTTCGTTGTTTCACTTCAAAATTGACACGAACTGATCCAGAAATTATTTTTTTCCAGTTTTTTGAAAACTTTTACATTGAATTAGCAATTCCCCATTTCTTCACCCTCATCTTAACTAGAGCTCGACGAATTTTCTATTTTCTGTGGAATACATAAGTCTGATATCTTTCTTATTTGACGTAAAATACGTTATTTATTTCTCGACAGAGAAACTAGGAATAAACGAGGTAACAACTGGTGCCAGCAGACGTCTTTTTCGAATTATCTTACTGACAATTAGCAGTGTCACCATCCGAAATAAACACACCACCAACACCGAGGCTTATAAACTGGATGTTAACACCGACAAGATGATCATTCAACTAACGGGAGTGACGGCAGTTGGAGTGTTCTGGGGTGTGCAGACATTATTAAGCATCACGCACGAAGGACAAGTCCCCAATATTATAATCCACGATGAACCGAGATTTGAATACCGCGGAATGAGCGTAGATGTCGCCCGCAACTTTGTTGACAAGAAGGAAGTTTTCAAACTACTTGAGGTCATGGCGATGTACAAGCTTAACAAGTTACATTTTCATTTAACGGATGACGAAGGATGGCGGTTGGAAATACCTGGTCTGCAGGAATTAACTGAGGTTGTTATGCCATTGGTTTCTTTTTGTTGATTTTCCAAGCCTCTCAGCCAATCAGAGCCCCAACTCCACCCCAAAAGAGAATTTTTGAGAACCCCTATACGAAAACCTGGAATCTTTACTGGGCGTGGCTAAATTATTTCTATACAGCTGATTAGAATGAAATATTTTACAAATAATTTTGCACATCTCAAATGTATCAGTCACAGCCTTGCCAAAATGTGCATTTTTTTTTCCATAAACATATTTAAGAAAATTGAGCAATTTGAGTGACTACTTAATTTCCAAGTTGATGATCTAAGTCTCCATTCTCCTTACAGAGTCGATGCATTTTCAAGGAAATAAGGATCAGAATAAAGAAATTTATCAAGCAGGAAATGAACCACCAAATTCCCAGAAATAACAAAGAAACGAATTGTATGTTAATAGGTAAAAACAATCAGGGTTGGGACGAAACCATTGACAAACTCTGCGCACTTGCTGTCCAACAAACCTACAACGTTTTGTTTTCTGAACTTATTCTCCATTCACACCAACGAAACTATTTTAACCAAATCAGATCAGATTTTCCTAATTTATCGATTGCCCATTTCAGTCACTGATTTTGCGAAGACAAATTTCGAACCACCTTGTTAACATATCTTAATCAAACAGATTTTACCTTGCTAAGTTGTAGGGTGTGTACGGTATGAAAAACTTATTTTTTGAACCCTTTCTAGTTAAACCACTTTTAAAAATTTTTAACATGCTGCTGGTGTGAACGGGATATAAGATTAATGTCAAAAATTAATCCCATTTTCACAGATTGGCGGCAAGCGATGCCACGATCCTCGTGAAAGAGTTTGTATTGCGTCGCAACTCGGTTCTGGTCCATTCACTGGGAATTCAGGATCTGGCTTCTATACTACGAACGATTATCGCGAGATCTTACAGTACGCTCAAGAAAGGCACATCCAAGTTATCCCAGAGTTTGACATGCCTGGCCACGCCCATGCCGCCATAAAAGCCATGGACGCAAAGTTTGAAAATTTGTCGTCCAAAGGCTACCTAAAAGAGGCTGAAATGTACCACCTTTCGGATAAGAACGACGAATCAAAGTATCTAAGTGCTCAAAACTTCAAAGACAACTCCATCAATCCATGCCTAGAGTCCACTTATAACTTCATTGAAAAGGTCGTCACCAGTGTCCAGAATCTACACAGTGGTATCCAGCCTCTTGTGATCTTTCACTTCGGTGGAGATGAAGTTCCACTTGGGGCCTGGACCGGGTCACCCGAGTGCAAAGGATTGGCAAAGAAACTGGGACTCGATTTTACCGGTAAACATATTGTCAAAGAGCTCACGGAATATTTTGTTGGTCGTGTTTCTAATATCACGAATCAGCACGGGCTTGATCTTGCTGCTTGGGAGGACGGACTCATGGGAATTGAAGAGGAACCTTACTTACGCAACAAACTCTTCAACAAAAATATTTATTCCAACGCTTGGGATAATGTGTGGGAGCTTGGAGAGGCAAACAGGGGGTATAAGCTGGCAAATGCTGGCTACAAGGTAAGCTGAAAATGCATTTTTATCATCAAGTAAAAATATCTAATTTGAAATCTACTTAGCGCAGTCAATCAAGCAAAATTGGAGGACACACGAGCGTCCACCGTGTGCTTGGAAGATGTAGACTTATCGCTTAACTGAGAGAACATTACATTAAGAGTAAACGTTTTACATTAGGTTGTTTCAACAGTCACCTTTTAATTTGACTCTTCGCCATTATCACGATGAGATGGCCATTTCAGGACTTTTGTTGCCTGTCTTACATTTTTCGCTGTTTTATTTTATGTGATTTTGTCCTTGTTTTGTTGTACATAAAGCAGACAATACGAAAACAATTCATGACTGACCTCTGTCACTGTTCCATAGTAATCATTAGAAGCAACGAAACGCCGGCAGGTCAATAAACAGCTTATTTCTTGGAAGATATCAAAATATCATCTTGTAACATAGTAGGCAAAAAATCATATACTTTTCGAAGTTAATGACCTTTAAAAATATATGAAACGCACACGAGAAGAAACTATTTTTTCCGACGATATTATTTTCTTATTACGACATAGGCAATGACTAACTTATTTTACGGTGATAACAGGTTGTGATGACCCAAGCGACTCACTTATTTTTTGATCACCCATACGAGCCTGACCCGGAGGAGCGCGGTTATTACTGGGCAACAAGATTCACCAACACCGAAAAAACTTTTGGTTTCATGCCTGACAATCTTTATGCTAACGCTGATGTTAAGAGAAATGGAGAGCCGATCACGAACTTGTGTGAGAATATGTACAAGAATAAATGTGTATCCTTGAAAAAGCCCGAAAATATCGCAGGTAATGGCCCAGTTTACAGTTGTATGCTCAGTGGGCAGGCCTTTACACAAAGCGAGGCTAGAGTTGAAACTAGCCTTGTAATTTTTCAAACGTAAATTATTATGTTATCATGTTAACTAGTTTCTAGTCCTTATCATCACAAAGTCGACCAAACCTTGCTTCCATGTAGAGGCGAGGTTACATTTCAAAGAACGGTAGAATAGCCGTAAACGAGACTTTTGTTAAACAGTTACTTGCCACGAAGGAGTGGTGTAAGTTTTACTAGTTTTAATTTTTGTAGGAGCTTGAATTACTTAAATGCAAAGTAGGAATTCTGTCATTTACTTTAACAAATACAATAACAGAAAGAGAGTTTATTGCATAATTTTATTCCTATTGTCTGATTCTGTACCATTTGAATCCCCAAAGACTACCAGTCTTACATGGAACTCTTGTTTCAGGCATGTCGGGAGCATTTTGGAGTGAGACTGTGAGAACTCCTGAACAGCTACACTCGCTCATTTACCCCCGCCTGCTTGCTCTGGCCGAGAGGGCATGGCACAAGGCTGAGTGGGAGAAAGTCACTGACAAAACCGCGAGAGACAGGGCCCAAGTCGAGGACTGGGAACGATTCTCCAACACACTGGGATACAAAGAGCTTGCACGTTTAGACAAGCAAAATATTAAGTACCATCTACCACCTCCAGGGGCAATGTAAGTTAAATAAGGTCTTCTAATAAGAGTCATACCCAGGGTCTTCTGGTCGAGAGCAAAAGTATAGCTAAATATTAACATATTTTCAATGCTATTGTATGACCAAGAACACCCGTAAAATAGAGACAGTACATGTACATATAGCGATTTTAAACTCTTTTGCCTCAGTAAATATAACCTCAGTGCTTGCAATTGAATCGAGAACGTGAAAACAATGTTAGAATTTTAACTTTGTATGCTTCCGCTGTACAGAGTTACGGACGGCAGGCTCAAGGTCAGTGCCATCATTCCAGGACTTAGAGTCCAATACACCACGGACAATGGACACACCTGGCGTGATGTCAGCGACGAAACCCTTGTGTCACAGAGCATAAAGATTGGCACGAGGTTGGTAACGTCGATTCAATGACGTCAGAGATTTTCCTCGGTGTACTTATGCAGAAACCTCGTTACGTTTATTCTCCACAGGTCAGCGGATCGCCGTCGTATGAGCAGACTCGTAGAGATCAAATTTCAAGAGAAAATCACAAGATCCAGCCGCGCGAGCCTGGTTCTGAACGTGGAATTCTGTCTCCTGTTCCTTACGTCACTGATGCTTTCATGGCTTTAAATTGATTATAGAGAGTGCGAACATTTCAACGTCAATCAGTTACGGGAATTTTTATGTGAAATTTGTATTTACCGTATGCTTTTTACTTCAATAGATGATTAAATTGATGAAACAATGTCTCTTTTGAACCTTTTCTTGTTTCCACTGGTTCATTACTTTAAAGCTAATGGCATGCTTCGTTCCGAGAGAAAATGGTGGAGTCACAGCCCACTTATATTCTCACAATTTGGGCGACAATCGCTTTGTGACACTGGTTCTGTGAACCTTTTCGCTCCTTCTCTTTCTTTTCAAAGAAATTTTACGAAACTCATTTCTAAGTCAGTTTTGATATTGGATTCTCACACGAACGATGTTTCTTTTCGCGCCATTATATCACTCCATAAATGGCGGGAAAACTCCTGCGCTCGTCTTAGTCAAATGCAGCCCGTGTCCCCATAACCCTTTTCGCGTCTCTTAACCTGCGGGGCCTTGCATTGGAACAAGAGACTTTCCTGTGCCAAGGCCTCGTCGGCAAAGAAACCCAAAAAGGGCTATGGGGATGAAATGTGTCAATTCAAGTTGGAAATCCGTTTCCAGTCCTTCTCAGATAATCACCTGCGAGTTCACAGCCACTAATACCTCTTATTTCTCTGGCATCGTCGCGACAATATGAAAACTATTAGTTTGAGTTTTCTTTGATTTGAAAATGATTATTTACGTTAAATATCTTTCGACCGCGCGTCCGCGCTCTTGCTTCGAAATGCTGTCAATTATCCTTGGTGATCTTTAGCAAACATCTCTTATATTTGCTTTTTTTGAACAAAATGATGGTATGATTCGACAAACATAATGAAGACAATGAAGACATCAAAATTCTGTAGTAACATCAAACTTGCTAATGATTAATTACTGCATTCGGTGTTGAGCTCTGATTGGCTGTGTTATAAAACGGTGTTCATATAACTCAACGCACGCTCTGATTGATTGTGTGGTTGGTTTGGACAAGGTTACGTAACAGTGGGTATGATGGATCGCGGATTGCTTTTTGTTGGGTTTGTTTTATAAAACAAATGGGGAACAGCCGCTTCTCTCTATCTACATAGTTTAATTAAGTTTAAAAGGGAATTCGAAATTTCAAATTCCAGCATGGACTATATCAAAGAAAAAGTTTAATAATGACTCTGTCCTGGCCTCTCAAAAACGAAAACACGTTAGCACTAATCATTTCCTTTATAAATCATGGCTCTATTAAATATAAATAGTTTTTACACACAGACTAAAGTAATTAGCTGGCACCTTTAACATCTTAGGTGAGCTCAACTCGCACCTTTTTCCCTTTGAGAAATGAGAAGAAATTTCAATTGACATAAAGCTTAAACGGCTTTCTAAGCTCTTTTGATTGGCCAACGAATGTTTTTTTTATACATTAATTTGGTCTATTCTTAAAGAAAAACAATGGCAAGATTAAAGTTCTGAACGCTTCTTGGCTCAAGTGCCTTGCTTATCAAAGGACCTTTTTACTGAGATCAACGCCTAATTTCTCCTAACCATACCAATATATTTTCAA